TTTTTCCTTTCATAACACAAAACCATTTAGAAAGTTTTACTGGAGCATTCTTAACAATCACAGAGTGAGCGTTGAAAGAATTCAACTTTGTACTACATCAAAATCTGTGCACGCTATTCCCGTGTTTCCCCCCTTTTTCCCCCTTCTTGTATTTCTTACTACTCAGAAATAATGTTCGATCATTTAACGCACGCATCCATGCTCTTTATCATATTTATTTCTTTTAAATAAAAAACAAAAGGGGCAAAAATGAAACTCGAAGAAAAATTGAGACAGCCCACAAGCTATATATCGATGGCTAACGTGCAAAACCACTTATCTCCATTGCGGTGTTTCAAAAGTTCTGTTCCTATTTTATTCTTTCGAAGAGAAACAAGTCAACTACATAATTTGACATTTCTATGGAATTCCGCTAATGAAGAAGAAAGGCTCAAGGCAGTTTTTAAGAGATTGAGCTGACTAGTTTTCCAATGACAATTGAAAGTATAACAGGAAGTTTGCAACGTTCAGAAACAAGAGACCCTCCACTCGTAACTCGGCTAAGGTGGAAGCTTTTACTTTTTGGACTTCAACATTAAACTGTTGACTTACCTACATGGTTGATGTTCAGCAACGTGTTGACAATTTCGTTATGCATACAAGCCGAAGTTTTCGGAAACTTGTTTGGCTCATGACGTCACCCGAAGCTCATCAGAGTCACTATCCACCATGTAGGTATGTCAACAGCCCAAAAAAAAGAGATGACTGTTGCTCCCTTATAATAGTCCATAAGGAATTGTTGAATCCCCGAAAGTAAAAGCTTCCACCTGTCGCCAAGAGGCCAGTGGACGGTCTCTTGTCTCAGGCAACGTTGCAAATAGAGTTACGTGCTTTCGCACTTTGGCCATCGATATTCTACAAAGTAATCCTCAAACTAAAATATTTTATTCTACAAGGAGAAAAATAGGAGAGTTTGGAGAGAACTGTTTACCACTACAAACAGAACACGCATTGGCGTTATTTCGGTCTAGACTACCTCGTGGAAGCCTTTGGCGGCCTGACTCATTTTTCCCGTTTTGCCGCGAGGCTGCACAGCGTCACTTGCATAAAAACTAGTCCACGTCAAACGAGTTGCTATTACAGAATCGGTGTTTGACCAATTACCCGGTGCAGGGTGCGGGGTAAGGCGCGAGGGATTGCTCGCATTACCGCATTTCGCGCGCGTGTGCGCGAGCGGGATGCTTTGGCGCGCGCGATGTAAGTGGCTCGCCTGCTTTCGTCCTGACTGCCGCGGCGTAGTGGCGTGTTGACCGGCTAGAGTGCATGGACGATGTAAACATGCAGGAGCGACAACATGCGTTGGCCCGAACGCCCTCGCATGTTTCCTGGTTCATAGATGGATGACAGTGATCCCTAAGTAGGTCGCGAATAAAAGCACATGGGTTTTACACAGTAGTGAGAAATATAGTGAAAAATGTAACCATCAATGGAAGAACCACCTGTTTCACCTCTTCCAACTCTTTAAAAAACTTTTTTTTTGGCTTTGATCCTCTATGGCATTAAATTGCGCCACAGAAACATACAGGGTTATTCAAAAGTCACGCACCACTGGCCCTGAGGGTGGTGGCCATTTGAAATTTTTGAGTTGCTCCTCACCCTCCCCCTCTTCGTGAGGGAGTCAAAAACTGGAAAGTGCCTAAAAAATTGCCCCCCTCGATATAGGGAAAAACGTCATAATTCGCAAGTCGATATCCTAATTAGAACTAAAGTTATGGTGAGTGGTGCGAGACTTTTGAATAACCCTGTATGATTTTGGAAAGGATTAGAGGTCTGATCTCCAAACTTTCCAAAAAAAATATATATATAAACTGTGACTTAATTTATTCCTATAATCCTAAAAACACTGTACAATGAAATTTTTTTTCTCTGAAATCGGTAACTGACTCATACAACAAATGGTTGAGAGACTGGATTTGCTGCTCGGTATAGAATCTCAGGAACATTCTGGCCGAGGAAAAAAAAAACATAAAAAATTTGAGTTTTGGCGGTTTGAAGTTTACAACTTCAATAGAAATATAGTTTAGAGGTGAAGTCATTCAATACTTCAGTTGGTCAAGTTTGAGGATCAAAATTGTCCAGTTTAAGTATGCGTTTACACCCTCTTTTTGGAGTTAAGTTGACAAAACTACTCACTGCTAAAACTGATGTTTTAGATATTGGATGGGGTTCCTTAAAGACAGTTTTTCTGGCACTCTAAATGATGTGAAAGGGTAGACACATGTTTTAACTCTCTCGGCAACTTTAAATGTTCATTAAATCGTGCACTAATTGTTAGTATTTACATCTAGTCTTTCTCATCTAGTGTTACTCTAGTCAAATAGTATTACTGTGTTTCAAACCATACTATCGAAAAATTCATTTTAAAAAACATAGTGGGCCCAAACTTTTAAAAAATTGCAATCAGAGTCTTGTAGTATTTGAAGTTCATCATCGATCCATGCTTCATGCACACAAAAGATAGCGCGCAACGCGCCGCATGGATTGAACAAACGAAGAAACACAGAATGAGCCAGTATGTGGCCTCTTTAAAGTTCCTTCAAAATGATATGATGCAACGCAACATACACTGCCTGAATTTATCGCCGCTATGCGGTGCGAATGCTCATTCAAAGATTTTTTAAAGCTACGATTGAAGGAGCTGCCTTTAAACGAAAGCAAACCAAACCAAACTTGCAATATATTTCCTGTCATACTTTGCAGGATTTTTTGTAATGGCCAAATCAGTGTAATCCTTCTAAAAAATCCATCAAGTTGTCTAAACTTATACGGCTGAATTTGTATGATGTTCGCAAAAATTGGACGTATTTAGATGAAAAGGAACTACATCAATTCTTACATGAGCCCTGAGATCCATAAAAATACACGTGTTACACGGCTCATCATAATGGATAAAGTTCTTTCTTATCTGAAGGCGTACAATTGTCCTATTCATGATGTTATGTTAAGGATCTCCATAAACCTCGCTTCATCCCAGTGTAATCCCCATGGAACGGACATTTTTAAGGAGAGACTTTAAATTTTATCCTAGAAAAATGACAAAAAAACTGAGTGGCCCGAACTGTGTATGTAACAAGGTGGAAAAATGGTCCACACCATTTCGCGGGGAAAACAAAGGCAAGAAACTCCAAAAATTAAATTTAGAGTCAAAATTAAATTTTTTTAACTCTAATGCGTCCTAGATCTAGATCTAGATAATTTTATCCAAGATCTAGATAATTTTTCTCAGCAGGGCAAATATTATTCCAGCTGCTCCGGTTTTGTGTAGGGTTGTCCAGTGGCAGGGTAATCTATGCCTCGTCTGACCGTTGCACAATATCGCAACCCACAGCGGCGCTTAAAGCGTGAATGATTAGTACTATTTGTTTGGAGTTTGCAAATGAGGCCTCGCTGACAATGCGGAACACGGCGGCGCAGCCGCGGCTGTCCAAGTGTCCAGCGCCGTGTTGCGTACACGCACACGTGTTCGGCGGTGTCAACTTGGCCGAGAAATCATCGGATCTCCCGTTTCGAGGAGAAACGTCCATTTCCCGCGGTCTCCGGCAGCCGGGCGCGAGGCTATCTCAGAATCAATATTCAGTGATTTAGTTTCTCCCGATTTGATTCATGAGTGCATTTCTCCGTTGCCAACTTAGCCAGCGGGCTGATTTTTGAAACTCATAGACAAAGCAATAGACAAAGAGACAATGGAGCGATCTTCTTTATGGAGCGGGTCGTTGCAACGGGCAAAGGAGATGGAGCCCGTTTCGGGTAATTTTTCTTTTTTTCGCTTTTTCCGAGTGCAAAATTCTGTATTCCGTGCACACAGCGAAAAAGGAAAAGTTATGTGAGACGGGCAACCTACGAGAGAACCAAGAGGTGGTCCTTCATTTGCTCCACTAGTCTACGACAACCGCCCGTTTCAATTGCAATGGGATCACTCCATTCTCCCTTTGTCAATCCCTTTGTCTATCAATTTTAATAATCCTGCAAGTACGCATTGCGATTCAAAAGTAGTAATACAAAAACCACCGCGCGCTTTTTTTACAGAGGTGAGCCAGTGACATCCGAATATTCGAGTTCAAGTTCGTGAACTTTCAAAGCTGTATACCATTTCCCCCCGAACTCAAGGCACCATCCTGAACAATTTATGTATTTCGCAGGCAATTAGCAATCGGCGGTAATTTACAAGCCAGTGGTGAATAAATATAGAAAATCATAAGATCCAGAAATAAAAGAACAGATTAGAGTGCTGATTATGTTGCCCATGATATGAATAGACACTTTTTCATCTGTAAAAACATGGCAGAAATGTGCACGCTCAGAAGAGCGTGCAGTGAACTCCGTGACTTTAGTTGGGTTGAGATCGGACAGGCAACTAAACTAACATCGTGGCAAAGCATAGAGTATCACAAAAAATGAAGGCGCTTCAAGCCGAGTTCATACTTTTGAAGACCATAACCCTTAAAAATTACATCATGTCGATGCGCATTATTGCGATTTATTGAAACAACGTGTAAACCGCTTGCAAATTTCCGACAATTGCTAATTGCCCGCGACATGTACATGAAAGAAAAACTATAAATTGTTTACTTTTTAATCTCATAATATAATATTAAGATTTGTGATACTTATCAAGAGCTAAGGAACAATATAAGAAAAAATGTAAGTACTATATTTCGCAACTGACGATTTCTTAGGTCTAAGAAAGAACTTTGCCATTTTTATCTAATTATAATGTTAGGTCTGCAATTTCATACACCTTACAGCGTCATCACAGCGGTTCCATGCGGAATTGGATCAAACTTAAAACACCAGCTTGACTATTTCAGACTGTAAAATGCGACAAAGTCTCGAAATCATTTCCGCCATGATAGTCAGTTAGCCGGTATTGCCCCATGGTTATCTATTTACAAATGCTACATGAAATATAGAATCAATTCGTTCATTTTCTAATAGGTGTCTTTGTCTTTTCTTTGTTTCAGAAACAAGAGGGCTATCCTAACTCAGTGGGAACAGAGTACGGTGCACCATCAGCCCCTTCGGCACCAGGAGACTCCTATGGCGCGCCACCTTCCAGCTCGTACGGCGCCCCCAGCGGATCGAGTAGCTACTAAAAACTCCCCACAGAGGGAATTAAAGTCTAAGTCAACTCGTCCAAGTCCTATGTCTCGAAAGAAAAACAAAAACAAAGGCCATGATTTTAGGCACGTTGCCATTTTATTTCTAATTTTGTTCGCCTCACGCCGATGTCCTCTCAAGACACACTGTTCAAGTTTCGTTCCTCATGGGGACTTAGATGTAAAAGCTTTTCGTAAACAGGGTGATCCAAAAGTCCAACACCACCGATATGAGGAATCCAACCTCGTGACTTCAATGAAATGAGACAGAGACTACAAATGTTGGATAATCCCGAATCAAAAAAAGCGAATGTTGGAACCCCTAAAATTGTAAGATCACACTGAAATATGATAAAAACCTCAGGTGTTATAGGGGTGGGGCGAGACTTTTGGATCACCCTGTATAATGGATACCTGGAGAAAAGTGCGTCTAATTTAAGGGACACCAGCGACCTTGGGCTTTTGAATGTTTTAGACTCAGTGATCAAAATTGTCCTCGCATCCAAATATCGTGCATGTCATGAACATGGCGAGGTGTCATATTCGAGATTCGCATCATTGGACAGTATGGTAGCCCGGTATTTCGACCGTACCATGAGACGAAATTTGAACGGATGTATAGAGACAGCACGGACAAAAATCTAAGGACGAGACGTTTGAGGCAACGTCCCTAAGACGTCTTCAAGAAACCTTAGTTTATAGTCTATCAAGATCATCCATCTACTGAGGGTGCATACCAAAGAGAAACTAACATCAAACGTTCCTTAATTTAGTAAATTTTGTAAGATCCTTTTTGAAAGATACAGGCGAATTTTTGGGTCGGATTGGGCCTACAGATAATGCTCTTTGACCAGGACCTTACTGTCTAGTAATTAGACGTCACAAAAGGGCTTGAGCGATTCGTGCGAGAAAAAAATTTAGTAAAATCACTAATTTCACCGGTATATATTAATCGCCGAGGATTTCAGTAATGTTACCAACTTAGCAAGCGGTAAGTTTACCGTGTTTGGTGAATAGAAAAAATATTTAAAATTACCAAAAACACGATGATTTGATTAGGAATTCTTGTCGACCAATTACTACGGGGAGAGTTGGTGACTTCTCTGACTTTTTCCGGTTTTCAAGTAACTCCATTCAATTTTCTGTTCCTTTCTCTTCCATTCCGGTCCTTGAACCATCACTGCCCCGCCTATCTTTATGGACGTCAAAGGTGTTACTCAGAGAAAACCTCGGTACATGTGAAAACGTTCCTAATTTTCAGAAGATGTATCCTTGCCGTGCTGTCCCGTAGAGAAATGAGTCGAGCTGTGAGAACTTTAAGAAATTCAGCCATAAAATCATGACCACTTATGGTGCAGCGAAAATGTCGGATAAACTGTTCCTGCCTTTCTCAATCTCGAACTTGGTAGCGAGCCAGTGGCGTGGCGAGAATTGTGATGTATCGATTGTTATACCAATTAAACCTATGGTAAAGAACCGGTTATTAAGGTGTTCGCTGCGAACACCCTCTTTATCGATCCTTTTCCATAGGTTTAAATGGCATGAAAATCGATATATCGCAATTTACGCCACGCCACTGTAGCGAGCGTGACCTCGCACTGAGATAGAAAACCAGTAAATTTGGTCATTTTACCGGTATTTTCACGGCGATCGGTAGCCACTTCGAACTTCCTGAATATTTACCGGTTTTTTTTTTTATCTCAAGGCGTCCCGACACAAAAGCTGTAATAGATTACTTCCTCCGATAAAGGAATGAGGATTTTCTCGATCCTACAAATGTAAAGTCCAACTAATTTCTCTCTCATGATAAGTTCATGATGTGTCTAGGTCCGTCTTTGAAGATTTTTATTTACTTCTAGAAATTTTATATATTTTCCTATAAATCCCCGTGAAAGTAGAGTTACCGTTTTCTTACTGTACCGTGCCCATTCCCAAGAAACGTTTAAAACAGAAAAAAAATCAGCTCCTCCTTTTGAGTTGCTTTTATTCACAACAAGAAATACTGTTCCTTAGCTGGTATATTTATGAGAGCTCAACGAATTTCAGACTGATCGAAGTTCATTGTTGGCTTTAAGTCTTGCACGACTGCGAATGGAGCCAGGTTTGAATAATACGGGTATGAAAGCGTGTACTGTGAGAGCGCTGGACTATACTTAACTTTGGAAAGTTACTTCTTTCGAATTGGTATCGGGAAAGTAATTGACCCAGTAATAATGAATACCTACCTATTGATAGTGAAAATCGAAAATTAAACGTATTATGAACGGTGAAACGCACAATGCAAACTGTAAATTATACAAAATTAAGTGTCCGAATTTTGATGCACTATCATGTAACAAATTGTAAATAACAATAAAAACGTTTAATTTTTTTTAAATGTTGTTGTTTTATTCCATGAGAACTTCTTCTAGGTTTTTGTGAATAAAGGTTTCTATCGCCTTCGAGCAATCAAAAGTCCTCTGATAGGAAATTTGGAAAAAGTACGGAGGAAAATATAAACGATGAACTTACCCACATTCATTGTAATTTTTGGAAAATAGTAGAATTAACCATATCTTTAATGTGGTTTAGTTGCATTACAACTAATTGGGCATATTTATGCTGAAAGGAACTGAAGACATGTGGGGAAAAATGGGGTGTGCTGGTAAAAGCTGGATAAAAAGCAATGTAAAAGTGGGCGTGATTGCTTTTGGGAGACGAGAAACGCGGGATTTACCCCCGTGTAAACCCATCCAGGTTTTGTAAAAGGAAGAGTTACAGCACCAGTGAAAACTCTCACGTGCATGAATTGCACGTTGTTTTTGTTAGCGCGGCACTGTTCTCACTTCTGGAAACGAGTTGATTCGAATTACTCTTCAAGTAGTTACATAATTATTTTAGTTGTTATGAACCAGCTCAAAAATTTAAAAGTTTACCAAAAACACCCTCCATTTGCGACAGATCCAAGAAAATCAATTTACAAAGACAATGTGAGGAAGTACCAATTTGTTTGTGCTATGACCGATCATTCCAACCTGTTATCTTGATTTTTCATCAAGTCCTCCTCGTAAGTCACGGCACTGGACGTTTCAGGGAACACTATGAATACGACACTTAGGGTTATTCTATCCCTTTAAGAACTACTACAAAAAATGTTAATTGCGGAACAAATTACAAAATTACAACAATAAAATGATATGAGGGGCTTATGACCTTGGCGCAGCAAGGCAAAGTGTGTCTTAACATGGAAGCGCCTTCAACTTTCAGGATACTTCACACACATCCGGGGAGTTCAAATAGTTGTATGACCTAAGTCGCGTATATTATATGGATAGGAATCTGGTAGGCACAACACTGTCATCATGTTTTATTCCAATTAATGGTTTTATATGTATGTGATATGGGAACTAAAGTACTCCAATGCATTATCGGTGGTTTAAGTGAAAAGAGCTTATCTCCATCGCAAAGTTTGAAGAACCATAATTATGCCTCACAATGCTGAAAGGCAGAATGTGTCTTAACATGGACGCGCCTTCAAATTTTAGGATACTTCACACACATCCGGGGAGTTCAAATAGTTGTATGATCTAAGCTGCGTACATTGTATGGAAAGAACTCTGGTGGGAACAACACTGTCATCATGTTTTAATCATATGAATGGTTTTACATGGTGTGATATGGAAACTGAATCGCTTTAATTTATCAGTGGTTTAAGTGAAAAGAGCTTAACTCCATCGCAAAGTTTGAAAAACATAATTATGCCTCATGCAGAAAGTCAGAATGTGTCTTAAAATGGAAGCGCCTTCAACTTTTAGGATACTTCACACACATCCGGAGAGTTCAAATAGTTGTATGACCTAAGCCGCGTACATTGTATGGATAGGAATCTGGTAAGCACAACACTGTCATCATGTTTTATTCAAATGAATGGTTTTATATGCAAGTGATATGGAAACTAAAGCATTTTAGTGTATCGGTGGTGTAAGTAAAAAGAGCTTATCTCCACTGCAAAGTTTAAAAAGCTCCAACCATGTTTCACGATGCAGAGAGGCAGAGTGTGTCCTAACATGGAAGCGCCTTCAACTTTTAGGATACCTCACGCACATACGAGGAGTTAAAATAGTGGTATGACCTAAACCGCATGCATCATATGGATAGGAATCGGGGAATCTTCAAGGACCATTATCTAACCTGTTATTTAAAACGTATGTCTATTTTTTAGAATGGACGAGAGAAACATACAGAGACTTTCAGCGAACACTGTTTGGATTGGATTTTATACAGAGAGAGAAAAAAACCTGCATTTATAAACAAGACGATTTCCCCTCCAGCGCGGATTCAACAAGACAAAGATTCCTGTAATTTTAACGATGTAATTTTTCCGTAATGTGCTAAGAATGAATGAAAACATGCACCATTTTTTATTCCACAACACGCAACTGCGAAATGATCCTGCACACTGATGCAGGAGTATGCACTTAAGTCAAGAGGAGCTACTTTTTGGCCGTCCTAAAATTTTCAGGGGAGCGAGGTGGTTCCCAACTTTTGTTTCCAAATGGAAGACCTCCCTTATGATACCTCGTTGAGTATAGGAAAAGAAAACAGCGCAAACCCGAGGTCATTATCTCAAACTGTTACATAATGGCGGTCGGTTAAACCGAAATTTCAATTTTTGGACATTTTGAACCTTTGAAGGTTCAAAATGTCCAAATATTGGAATTTCGGTTCTTCGGCGAAGGATTTGCCTGAAAGTATCCACCGGGGAACATTAGATTTTTAATTTTCTCCAAAATTTTCAAAATGGCGGCCGGTTAAAATTCAATACGACCGTAATTTTTTTAAAATTTTCCTAAACATTCGTTTTTATCACGTCAAAATAACTCCAGATTTCAAGTTTTCGGCAACTTCGTCGACCAAAAACCGAGATGCCAATGGCCGGTCATTTTGAATATATTAACCGGCCCCGCTTTGAGACAGGCTGAGGTATGAGGTTCTGACCTCAGGTTTGCGCGAAAAGTAGGTATGTCCTCTTTTCTTATGATTTTTCAATCGAGGTATCACAAAGGGAGTCTTCTCGTTTAAAAAAAAGTTGAGGTCCATCCCCCCCCCCCCCCCCCCCCGCAGGGCCCCTTTGAAAATTTAGGGGGTCACACAGAAGCTCCTGTTGACCTTGAAATACACTCTTAGTTTCAAATCATCACCTCAACAGGTAAAAATATAGAGGAGATGGAAGGGGCTTTCGAATCACCATGAATATGAGTGTGAAGCATGAAGCGCTCGCACGAAGACACGCGCGTCATTTTGAACTTTCGCGCGCACTTTTTGCATTTCCCGCGGTTGCCACCGCGGGAATGGATTTGATTGGCTACCTCGGATTTGACAGCTCATCTATGGCAACGCTCAGCGTTCCACGCAGCGAGTTCAATCGATAATCAATATTTACTGTTTCACCGTGTAATTTGTTATCAATCAATGCTCACATCAATTTCCTTTATTATTTTATTATTATCAATTAGCTCTCTCGTGTGAAAAGTATTTAAACTATCAATCCGTTGTATAATTCAGTCGAAATGGCCACAGCAGTTTCCAGAGCTCCGCCGAAGAAATACAAGTGGGCTCTAGATTTCGCTCCCAGGTGAGTAACTATTCTACACTCTCATCTCCTTTTAATACCTCATGTCGTTAATAGGTAGGATTTAATTATTCCTTAAATATAATATTTTCGTTCCCCTTAAACTTTTTGACAGCGCATTTGTGGCTGTAGGTATTGTTTCCTCACTATCCAATCAGCATTGCGACGGCAATGTGTCAATTAATTGAATTTACGCATCGTTAAGTCTCTTGCAACTACTGTTGTTGCTGGAACTCCGTTTCTTCATGTAGACGGAGCAGTTCCAAAGGCTGACTACAAAGTAAAGGCTATGTTGCCTCTGTCATGAGATTGGAATTTTTTTACTAGTTCTCAAGTAGCTCGTAGGGCTAACGCCACACTCAATACTCAATACTTAATACCTAATGCTCCAGCCCCAGGTGACCATTGCCTCAGTCTGTCAAACTTGGGTCACCTTACCATGAGTTAGGGTCATCTTGATCCCAGAGCCAGCGCTACAACCACCACACCGCAGGCGGCGGACAAGCACAAGCATGTTAACCTTACTTTTTTGGTGTCAGCTAAGTTATAGCGAAGGATTTAAGCAGTGGCGTGGCGTACTTTGCGATCTATCAATATTTCCCCATTTGAAGTTGTGGTAAATAATCGGTTATTAAGGTGTTTGCTGCGAACACCCTATTTATCGATACTTCTCCATAGGTTTAAATGGTCGATCAATCGATATATCGCAAAGCACGCCACGCCACTGGATCTAAGATTTGTCTGAACTCATCTGGTGACCTAGCTCACTCATAGCAATTGAGGCTTTGAGTGCAGAAAGGTCATTTCTTACTTGCGGTGTTCGGAATCTTCGGTGCTAATTTTTATTTTAGAGAGGATACTATTGGGTAAATTCTCTAAAATTTCACATTTTTAACACTGTAGAATCATGAAAAATATGCAGTGAAAGTTACATTGAATTACGCACATTTGCTATAATTATAATCGATGAAATTTTAGCGGAGATTTTGAGACTCTCCAAAGAAGGAATGTCCTTCCTGCACCCAGAGCTTAATTTAGAGTCATTGGTGATGGTGATCCAGAATTTCATGGCTGGCTGATGAGAGAGGTGGAGATCGCAGAGGAAACAAGAAATTGATTTCCTCATATACTTATTTCCTGATCCCACTCAGGTTCCTTTGAAACCTTGGTAAAGGCCTCTCTCTCATTATAGCACAGTGGAATTTCCATGAATGGATGGCACCTATGGCTTGACTTGACACTTCTTCCAGGTCCTGGCTTGCTGTTTGGGGTTTATCTCTATAGTAAAACTGCAGGACTGCTTACTTTAATTTGCGAAGTTGTAGACTTCCTTTCATACTTCATTTCGTACGTAGAAAAACACCCAAAAACTTTTCTTGAAAACTTCCCTGATTTTTCTTCTTCGTGTAAAAATTTATCCATGAATATTTAAAGCAATACTTACTTATCATTGGTTTGTTTTCCTCTAATAAAAAATAATGGATAGGTTGATTTCGAGGCACTGCAAACAAGATTCACATTCCTGCAGCTTCACTGTTGATGTGCATTTACAGCTCGGGGTTGCATTCATATTTGTTCCCATAATGTTAAGGCTTATTTATCTAATTTAACCCTTATGGTTTAAAGATAAGATACCCACACGATGACAATGACCCCACGAGAACAACGATGAACACTACTCTTACACAAGTACTAGTGCAACATTTGAAACCATGAATCTTAACTGAACAGACAGAATCCACGTTTTACTTTTTTGTAGTCCAGTTGACCACCTTTTTTGATATAATTTTGTGTGATATATTTTTAGCCCTTCAAGAAAACTTTCTCCTAATATACCTACCACAAGAATATTATTTTGTGCCCAAATATCCTGTAGTAAAATTTTAAAAATGTAAAAAAGAGCCGAAATTTCGAAATACCTGAGATCCATGGTTTTATGGTTCCTCTGTCCTTTACTAAATATTTCTTATTTGTTTCCTGTTCACCACTGTCAAATGGGTTGTTTGCTTTTTAAAGGAGGAGAAGTTCCACGACTCCTGTAGTTGAGCTTCCCTCGCCTCCTGGATACAACCCATCTGTTGAGCAAACATCTTCTGAGACAGCCCAGTCAGGAGATTCTACACATCTGATAATCAAGAAGTCCTGGGATCTCGCTTTGGCTCCACTGAAACAGGTAAAACTTTAAAACTAGGTACATGTACTCCTCAGTTTTTCACTTCTGTTGAGCGGACCGTTTCTGTCGTATTTAAGGAACAATTATGATTACGATTCCAAAATCCTCCAAGAAGCAGTTGTGCCGTAACCTCTCAAGATTTTTACATTCCTCTAAAAAATCAGGAGTTCAAGGTCAGAACAACTTTCAAAATCTTAATGTACTTAATTTTAATGGTGAAACACTACCTAATTTCAATTCAAGGTGGGTCTGCACCAGAGGCAAATTTATTTTTAACACCTAAAAAGTTAGGTGAAAACAATAGGTTTGATTGAATTTTTCAGTCAAACATAAAATGGTTACATGCAAAAGGAAAATCTTCAAGCTGAAGGTATTCAAATGCAAAATATTAGTTGAGATTAGTTGTATTGAAAAGGTGAATTTTATATGTTGATTCTTTGGCGATGATATAGGATTTTCCAAAGAAGAGTTTATTGAAAGGCAGCTAAATTCATCCTAAAGCCATCGTTCCATCATTTGGCAAGAATTAAAGTCAAAATTAGTATATCAATGAGTATATGTGTTCCATACCTTGATGTTAGGTCACTTCAAGTATAGACACAGAGTTGGTAATTGCGCCAACATGCATTCTACTTCCGTCTGAAAGTGATATCTCAGAGAGAAAAGAACCTCATCTGAGCACAACGTTCCCGCCAAAGAGTTATGGATTTCGATGTAACACACTTTTTGAGTTTTCGTTCTCCAAGGTCCCTTCTCTGATGGACAGTTACATTTATTCTATTTGAAAGTTCTATTTTATTTCCAAGAAGTCTACTAAAAATGTGCCTGTATTTTCAGGTTCCAATGAATCTATTCATTATGTACATGGCTGGTAACTCTATATCAATTTTTCCCATCATGATGATTGGTATGCTTGTAATTAGGCCAATCACAGCGTTATTTGCCATTCAAACAAGTAAGTAATCAAACCTTTGAATTTTCTCTGCTTACATTTTTTCCATGAAAAAAATTACCAATGAGTGCTCGTACAAAATGTATACTAAAACATATTTCGTTCTGACAGTTTTTAAGAAATTCAGTTTGCTCTGTTTCGGAGATCAGTCAGCTTCATAGGTACTTAACACAGCGACTGAAAGAGACCCCAATGACCTCAATTTCTCTGTAAGATGCTGTTCTTTATGAAATTAAAGTACTCCTAAAAATAAGCTAACCTTGGTGGCATGGTGTCAAAGGCAGCTTGCTGCCAACTCAGAGATTCAGAATTTCATTCTGGGGGTTGACATATTTTTAAGAACACTCAAAAATCTGTCATCTGGGCTGAAGATGACTACGCCTCTCCGATATCCTGTCAATCCTTTAGAATCACTGGACAAAGGAGGAGGAATCATATCATCATCATCAGGAGGAGGATATGGTCATCTGGTAGTAATCTGTCAGTATGTGTGAACTGTATGGAAATTAGGGAAGGACAGCCTTACCTCTGCGCAAGAAAAACTCCTTTGTTATGTTTGAGGGACGACTATATGGAGTGCATGTTAACTTTGTGGAGAAGTTTTGTATTTTATTTCCGGGCACTTCTCTAGGGTTCCCCCATCTCTTTGATGCAGCACTTCTTGATATTATCCATGCATAGCTGTTTGCTCTAGCAGAAAAAAAATTAATTTTTTTAAAATGACAACCTCAATCTGCGGTAGTGAGAACAGAAAATCAACATGTCTTTGGCATAATACAAAAATCATTCACACCTCAGCTTATTTTGATCCAAATAAGCTGTATTAGATTTTGAAAACCAAAAATTTAGATTATCTCATACCCTGTGAGAATCAGCTGAGAAGACTGGATGCAATTTCAACATGTGCGTACGGAGTATTATGAATTGTTTGTTTTTGTATTCTGGTTTTTGGAATTTACCACCTAGTGTTTTTACTAAGCTGTTTTAAATTGTGTTCAAACTAAAGCCAATGAGTAGGACAATGAATCAATGTGAGAACTGGAAATTTTGCTCATGTTGTGTTTATATTTTGTGGTTCAGGTAATGAAATGAAAAAAAAGAAATAAATTCACAGGATGAAAAAGTTAAATTTTTGCTTTAAAAAAAATCTAAAAACCGAATGAAAAAGAAAAAGTAAAAATGAATGAGAAATGCAGTTTTTCTCAAGAAAATCAAGGGGAAAGTGAAGCGATATTCAGGGTTTTCAGCAGAAGAGAAAGACCAGGGAATGAGAAAATTAAAGAAATGTGTACGCCATGAATTTAATTCATTTAGACTGAATACATACTACTTGGTACAGCATTTTGGAAATTTTCATATCTTCAACATCATCAAATCTAATAAACTTTGTTTTGCAAGCCTTTTGTAAGAATACTAAAGGCACAGTAAAAGGTCGGAACTTTCTCATTAAAGCGCCTATATGTATTTAAAACACCATGGGCACAATACATGGTTGGGACTCTTTCAATCAAGAGCCTGCTTATGAGTATGCGCTAAATATTTTCAATACTATTTTCTATACTCCAGAAAAAAGTGATCTCCTCTGACAATGAAATAATAGGCACAGATGACAAAATTGAATCATGAAAAATGATAATTATTAAAACATACCATTCAAATCCCTTCTTAGAGGATGTTTACAGAGGTTGTATCTACTTCACCTGACTAATGTGTCTCCTTTTTTCACAGCATTCAAAATTATCGAAGGTAGCCATGCTGTTGGTCAAAAATTTGTCTACTTTCTTGGAAATATTTTGAACATACTACTAGCGATGTATAAATTTCATTCAATGGGTCTACTACCATCTCACTCATCTGACTGGCTTGCTTTTGTGGAACCGCAACAACGGCTCGAGTATTCTGGAGGAGGATTTTTACTTTCTTAAGCTTGTAAGTTCTAAATATTCAGGTTTAATGGATGGGGACCGTGTCTTCATTTTTCATTGATACAAGTTGCTTTGAGTCAAAAACGCGTAACCATCATTGCTGGCAAATCAGGTTATATTCTCGATTTGTTCAGTAGAGGTTTCTTTTTTTTTTAAATAGTACCGTAATTATATTAAATGCTATGAGCAAGGTACTGAGTTTCAAAAACACCATCTTACCTTGCAAGAGTGAGGTTTCCATTGATTAATTATAGTATCTAGAGGTGATGGAAAAATATAAATGATTTTGTGGCTCCCAGCAAGAGATGAGTTCCATAAATGTTTCAAAGAATTCACAGGAAAATGTTTGGGATAAAATCTTAAATTTATCTTAAGTGGGGAATTTTTTCGATTAATTCCTCCAAAAAGTTCAATGAAATTCTCAGGATTATGACAGAAAAAAAACTAAGCATAAAATATGTTTTAGATTCTATGAATTGTTTTTACAGCAATACCAGGGAAAGTAAATTATGGAAACTGAACAATCAAAGTAAAAGACTTGAAATTTTAATCGGTCAAAAATTACCAATAATTTAGTCAAATACAGGTACAATAATCCAACACATTGGAAGTTTACATTATCCCTTGAGATTTTGATAGAGTATATGTCTCTCTACTTTCATTTTCAGAAGTTCTGTAAGCATTGAAATCGCCTAAAATTTTCAAGTTTTTCGAAAAATTTAATAATTCTCTAGCAGGGTCACTCAATTGAAAAGAAAGGTCGAACTAATAAGAGTATTAATAAATTACCGTCTTGTTACAAAATTTATTTGAAAGTGAAAAGCATTTTAAAATGGTATAGGTAGTTTTGTTTCAAATTAAAACGAACAAATATCAACACAGTCCCCACCGCCTTTTAGCATAGGAAGAAATCCTCAAAATCAGAGGAAGCCTTTTATATTCCCTGGTTTCAGAATACCCAGTTGGTGTTCTATCCTTATACTGATAAAGAATTGTAATTTGCAATGTAACTCAATGCGAGTTGTTCAGTCATGGTAAATCCGATTTTCATAGTGTCTGACTTTTTATCGGGTGACACTTTTTTGTTTGTTCTTTGTAGGTGAGTACCATTTTGCCTTTAGTTTTTGTACATTAATTGTAAATAATTGTTTTTTTCCAACCTCTTTTTTCATTTGCTACACTGCAAAAACACAGAGATAGATTTTACTTCAGTCACAGGTAATTATTCTTATAATGAGAAGAACTATAGAGTTATTCAATAACCATGTGAGAATACTAATACCTTTGAACTTCAAAATTCTATGCTCCACTTCTGAGTAGATTGTATGCTGCTTAGAAAGAGCCACTAATTTTAGGGTCTTCGCATCTCTCATTCCTTAAGGATTCAAACAGATTTTTTGTGTAAAACTTTCGAAAGAAAATCTACGCAGATTGAAAAAGGCTGTATTTCAGCTTCCAGAAAGCCCAATTTTTAGGAGCCAAATTATTTTTGCATGTTCTATGCTGTATTTTCTCGAGTCTCTGTCCTATTCTCAAATCATCTCATTCTCGGGCTGTGCTGCTGCACAGCAGATTGTGGATTGAGAATACTAACAATAAGTTCCCCCCAATTTTTAGAGGACGCAGCTTGATTTTTAGGCGCATGGCGCCCAGGGAATGCAAAACACCAGCGAAGGAAACCGAGAAACCCAGTTTTGTTCTATAAATTTGGAGCCAATACTTTTGACTGAAGAATTGATTGGTTTCAATTTTTTCTTGGGATTGAATTCCTCATTGAAAAAATAAAAATCTCAGAAAATGAATCGAAACTATTAGCAAATTCACACAAGTTTCGATTCAGCACATTGTCATTGGTCATGCAATTGTCTGGAAGCCATTTTATAATACTTTCAATTAGAATATAATCACATTTTGATACAATTTCCACCAACCATAAGCTCCTCAAGTCACAAACTTTTCTATAAAAGGGTCAAGATAAATCTGTGTGAGAGAAAAGATGTCTCTCACAACAGACAGCATAGTCTTCATGTTTCAATTTTTCTCTGCTTTTTCCTCTAAAAAATATTTAAGCAAAATTTTCTCTCCTTTGAAAGCCGGTTTTTTGCAGTTTTATACTTTTACACTTATAATTTTAATATAAAATAATTCAAGTTTTAAACTTCTGGTCAAGTGTTAATTATATAGTTTACTTGGTTTCCTCTTTTTGCCAGAAATTTTCTGTATCTTTCCTTTATTTGCAGAGTGAAAATCAATTTTGGAAAGTTTCATACATTGTTGAATACATTTTTTAAAAAATATTTGACAATATTTCTTTCAACTCTCCTCATCCTGCAGTGGTACGACTTAAACTGCGGGTTTTAACGTTCCACTATGAGGAAACAAACTTTCTCATAGAAATTTGTGAGTTATCACAAGTTTCTGCGAGCAAGGTTGATCAAGTGTGTTACATTTTACCATACAATTGCGATGATGGCTGAGCACTTCTCTAATTCATACGTATTAGAACTCACTGCTTGTTTTCATCTCCTCTTTCTCTCATACATTCAAGCTCTCAGAGTTTTTGGCATTTGATGGCATTTTTTCAATGTTACTGCAAAATCAGAGTAGTTTCTGAAAAGGAGAGAGCAAGCTGACGCTATTCGACAAGCTCCTCTTTAGTTTGCCATTCTGATTTTATATCAAGTGTGTTGGTCTGTACGATTGGGACTGAGTAGTTCCATACTGAACTTGCCATCAGGGACCGCCTAGTTGCAAGAGTTTTTTTTATGGAATATCAATTCATTTCTATAAATTTTTGTGTCTTTATTTTGTTTTTCTACTTTTTTGCAGTAAGAGTGTGTATTATTGAATTGACATAGGAAACTACTACTAACATTTATTGGAAATAATATTAGCATTCAGATTGTTCACAGTAATTACAAGTAATATTTTTATTGGAACACATCAAATCACTTTGTAAATTGCGTTCATTTAGTCTCATTGACAATCAGGAATTGAATGTAAGCAAGGCTCTATGCAACCTAATGTAAAGCACTTTGTTTTTGACATTTTGTTTGATATGCCCTCAACTTCTAAACATCATCTACATGCTTCACACGAAACCAAATCGTAATTATTACTGTTAGATGAGAAATTATCCCATTCATTTACACGATTCTGAGTATATAGGTATGTACATTTAACAATTTTGGGTTTCAATCAAAATTGATTAATAACGAAAGCCGATTTTTGAATTTTCTTACTTCTTAAGTAACTCCCTAAAAAGTCATCCAATAGTGATTCAAAATTCAATACCTGTGAACAGTGAAAAGAGAGGGGCTCAAAATTTGGTGCTGGACTTGAGATTTTTTTCACCTGGTGCGAGATCGATTTAAGCTCGAGAGGAGGCTTTGAAGTGCACCCTAAAGCCAAAAAGGAGCCCTGCGAAGGACCTACCAAAATCTTTAAAAAATTAAAATGTCCTACATGGTATTTTAAAGGCACCTATTCAGCACTTACCTTCCGTCTTTTTGCTTACTTGCTAAGAATGAAACGGAAAATTGAAGGTAATAAGAAAGGCTCTCCTTGTGGTCAGCAATGATTCTTTCATCGTTTTTACATTTTAATGGTCGCATTTGGTCAATTTTTTACTATTTCAAAGTCTCTAAAATAATATTCATTGTGCCCACCGCGGACGATTGAACCTACCAGTTCAGTAACTTAAAACAACCAATTCAACCTCATAAATTCGTAATTTACGCGAGCTTCAAAAAGACGCATGATGCCAGAAATGCGGTAAAAAGTAAGGTGGGACATCAATGGCGATATCTAGCGATGGATTCAAAACTTCGTTTACTGGTCTAATCAAAGCTCATTTAGCGATATAATTGTGATTTCCTCGAATGAGCAACTATATACGCTCCCCGGTATGTTTGTTGCCCGCAAACTCAGGTGGGCAATGTTTTTCAATAGGTTTATTTGCTTAGCAAAGTTTATGGAAAAAGATTAATTACTGGACAAAAGTCTCTTAGATCTAGAGTCCAGACTCTTAAGAACTTTGACAAGAGAAAATACTCCTGATTTAATCGGATCTTTGCTTGAATCGAGAACTAGGTCTCAAGATTCAAGCAAAACTCCTATTTAATCAAGAGTATCTTTTCTTGTATAATTTCTTAAGAGTCTGGACTCAGAAACCGAGAGACTTTTTTTCCCTGTGGTTTGAGTTTTTCGAATAGATAACTATTCGAGCTCTCCAGTAGTTTGTTGTCCATGCAGCAAAACTGAAGGCGAACATCCAATGAACAATTCCTATCAATAGTATAACGAGATGCAATCCCTGGTATGTATCTGGCCCATGAACCTTAAGTGGACAATATCTGCAAAAAGGATTATTACACATCGTTCATGGGGTCTGTGAAAGCACGCAGCAGCAATGGAATGACAATTTTTTCGAATAGCTTGTTATTAGTTCTCCCGGTAAATTTGATACTTATTGTTAATCCTCAACTTTTCCTTTCCTCTCATTTTAACCCTTTTGGTGTGATGGGCCCGGCATAGTCAGTCCATATTCCTCATGCGCCCTCCTGAACCCGGCCCTGGACCAATTTAAAAACAAGATCATTTTTTCACGACGGATTGTCCTCAAAACAAGATATATCAATTTTTCAACTTTTACCCTCTTCTCATCCCCGACCTATTCGATTACATACATTTTGAGTGTCGTGCACCGATGAAGAGATTCCCTATTTTACCCTTAAAATTTTTGAAGACCAGGATTTGGTTGAAGATGCTGACTCAACTGTAGGTTCTTTTCTATAAATATTCTAAAATTAATTAGGAAAATTCACAAAAAATTTAAAGAAAAACTGCTGATTAGGTAGACATCAGATGAAGAGGCAATAGAATTAGTTGCTTTTGATAGGTTGTTGCTCTTGAATATCATCTAACAAAATTATTACCCGAGTAAGTCTATGTTTCGAATTTCTTGAAATCCACACGCTTTTGAATTGGAAAATGTGGCATCATGAAGAGCTTTCCAAGGATGCCAGAAATGGCCTTAACTCAATTTTTCAAGAATATGAGTTTGTTCTCTCATTGGTCGCCAAATCGTATCTAAATGTTCTTCATTCAAAAATTGACGCTAATATGCAGTGAGCGGCTCGCTGGACTCTGTATCACAAATGGTATCACATCGTTTTGTAGGCTTTTAGCCCGGCTTTAACTTTTGTCACCTCTCCCGCGCCAGGTTTTTCAGTAACCAATACGTTCATCCATTAGGTGCTCTTACGAATTCCTTTATAACTTTTTTATCATATTCCTTGATGCCTTCTACAAAATATGACTTTAATGAATCATTGGCCTCTTGGCAAAGAGAACAACTGTAACTTACACAATTACGTACTTCAGCATTGACTTTCCAAAATAACCTTACAGCATAAAATGTTTAACATTTGAAAATTTGCATTTTACAAGTGCAGTTCTCTTCTCTTTACAAAAATTAATTGTTTTCATCGATGATTTGTCGTCTTTTTAAGTCTTGCCCTACCGCACCAAAAAAGAATGCCGTATAAACATTTGGACGTTTCCAAAATTCCGATAAAATATGTACCTGTTCTTAAAAAAATCCTCCACTATTTTTCATTGAAATCGTCAGATACTCACGTAAAATTAAAGTGCGAATAATGTTCTCTGAAAAAGTGGCAGCAAATTATCCTCTAGTCTCCCTAAAAATTCGTATTTTATCGAAAAAAAAGTTGGCAATATCTGGAGGCTCCTACGGCGTTCTTACTTATTATGACAGTTTTACAATAGATACGAACCCCCCGGAAAAAATGAAAAAAGAGAAAAGTCGCACTTTGGGTTAGAAGAAGATCCCTCGAGTATCCGCATTTCGTTTTGCGACATCCTGTATAAATTCTCACCCCCATAAATATTCAATTTCCATCCGAAAATATTTCTCGATGCGTGTGAGGGCATTTCTGCCGTGCTAAGGAAAAACGCCGTATGAACATTCGAGAGTTGCCAATTTTTTTTCGATAAAATGTTCATTTTTGTGGAAACTCTTGAATATTCAAACGGCGTTCTTTCTTAGCACGGCAGTATTGTTGAAAGAAGAAGCAGTCAAAGCAGCTGCAGTAATTTACACATAAACCAATGCGCGAGGAGTAATTTATACATTTTTATTAATATCAAAGCACTGTCAGGGTTTTCAGCAAAAAGGATGCGCTTGTAATATGTTTAATTCACCAACACCGCGAATATGAATTATTGCGGACAATAAGACGCGCGCCCGCCAACGCGCACCATACCTAGCGCCTTCAACATCATCGAAATACTTCCAACGCTACACCATTTACACATTCGTCCTGATGTGCAAATTGCCTACACTGCGCCTGTCCGTGTGCACTCCGCACCGTTATCTAAAATCCACGGATCGGACAATCGAGCACATTCCACACGCTTTGCAATTCGTTATTATATATTTATTCATTTTTTGTTTTTTATTTATCTATTCATTTATTTATTTATTACCATGCAGCCATCGCATTACTTCATACAAATGTTGATTTTATCCTGAAACACTTTGGAATGACGAGGCCATCGTCGCTCCTCTGGCGTAAGGGCATATCTCGATTTTCACAGGAGCCCTGTTTTACATAAGAATCCATGCTCTCTGGGGTTCATGAGGAAATCTAGATACGTTAGAAAAGTCGCATTTTGGGTTAGAAGAAGATCCCTCGAGTATCCGCATTTTGTTTTGCGACACCCTGTATAAATTCCCACCCCCTTAAATATTCAATTTCCATGCGAAGTATTTCTCGATGCGCGTGAGGGCATTTCTGCTGTGCTTAGGATGAACGCCGTATGATCATTCGAGAGTTGCCAAATTTCCTTCCATAAAATTTTTATTTTTGTGGAAAGTTATGAATATTTTCCCTTGAAAGTTTTAGGGACTTTAGGTGAAATTGCGTACAAGATTTTCTGAAAAGTCCAAAGGAAAATGTTCATAAATTTATCAGGAAATTCGTGTTTTATGAAAGGAAATTTGGCAACGCCTGAAGGTTCATACGGCGTTTTTCCTTAGCACGGCAGATTTCTTTGATGTTCCGGCTATAGGCGAGTTATGATTCTTAGATGAGCGAGGTGTCCTTAATTTTCCGCTCATGACCCGAATTTCTATGCCACGTGGTGTCCACGAGCTCCCGTCCAAGGTCGGGCTGCGTAGTGGCCCCGAGGGCCCACCTATTATTAAAAAATAAGGATTTACGAACAGGTAATTATCGGTGGTTAATTTACCATCTCAAGATTTTCCTTTGCT